TCAAGGGTAAATGCTAGTGAAAATCGGACAAGGGGTAGTGATGATCTTGGGCGAAGATCAAGTGTAACAATATATAATTAAAAAATTTTTTTAAATAAATTATATAACAATGTTTTTAATAAAAATATATATAATAAATTTATATTTTTTTAAATAAATCATAGAAATATATTTTTAATAAATATTATAATTTAGTAAAAAGTCAATTTTGACGAATAAATTTATTATTTTTATTACTTAATATTAAATGAATTAAGATGTAAAACAAGTTTTTAAAATTTAAAAAATTAAAAAATAAGATTTTTTGTTCAACATTAAAATTTTTAAATAATATTATATTTTTAAGATTGGATATTTTTTGAAATAATAATTTTGAATATTATTATAAAGTTAAATTTTAATTATAAATATTATATAAGATGTAATTAAAAAATTCCAATTAAATAATGTCAATTTTTTATTTGATATTTTCAAATAAAATAATTAAAAACATTTAGTTATTAAAATATTTTTAAAATATCTTAATATACTTAATAAATATTATATAAAAATATTTATATAAAAATATCTTTTTATAAATTATAAAGATATTATTATTTCTGAAAAGATTTTTTAAAAATTTTATCAAAAACAAAATGAATTTAAGATTGATGGAATTGATAAACTAAAATTTATATTTTATCAATTGAAAAAAGTTTTATAAAAGGAATTATACTATTATATATCATATCAATCAAATTTTAAGTAAAAAAAATCTTGTGATTTACAATTATATAATAAAATAGGATTCAAATATAAAAGTTTTAATATATGAAAATGCATACTATCTCATATGTTTTTATAATTTATTAAAATCTAATTATAATTATTTTTTAAAATATTCCAAATTATCAATTAAAACAATTAATAACTTCTGGAAAAAAAATAATTACAATTATAAAAATAATAATAAAATTGATATTGATATTGAAGAAATAAATAATGATGAAATATTTGATATATACTCCTAAAATTTAATTTTGTACAAAACATATAGTTTTTACTTTTAAATTAATAAATATTTAAGGAAGGTCTCAAGTGGCATTAAAAAAAAAACAAGAAGAAATATTAGATAATATTAATTCAAATGCAAATAATCTTTATGATGAATTAAAAATAGTTACATGTATCAATAATTTTATTTTAACAAATAATGAAAATTTATCATTATCTAATTTCAAAGATATTCTATTGAATCTTCAGAAACCATAAATCAAAATAATAATGAAGAATCTTCTTTTTCTGATAAAAGAAGAAAAAATTCATATCCAATTAATCCAATTTAAAAAAAAATAATTTTTTTATTAATATTATTATTTGTATCCATCATTTACAGTTATTATTTATTTAATAAATTATTCTTTTGTTTGTTATTTATATATTTTTAATTTTTAAATAAAAATCGCGAAACATTAAGCCAGGTGGCGATTTTCTACTGCGTGACGATCTACAATGTCTAATGCAACCAATGAGATACGTTTTTTTTACATTTATGCAGGGGTTCTCGTGATCCGGAAATTTCTGCAAGTATGCCGTACGAATGTGCAATGAGAACAATCACCGACACTTATTTTTTTAAATAAACCTCTGCTCGCACAATGCCGAAGGGTATATCACATAAACAAGGCAAGATCGCATTAACCCTATTAATTTGACCCGAAATTATTACGTAAACAAAACATCCGATCCTACGGAAATTTCCGGATCAGGTTTCGAATCGACCAAACAACACCTCCCTCTATTATTAATTTTCTGATAACACTATAGCATATACTGTACGTCCCCCTTAGTTACACCGGACAAGCCCGGATTTCCATAAAATAAAGACATGGACGGAGTTCTCATTCCCTCACTTATGCGACACCCTACGGCATTCGTACATCACTGGTGCATCATCCGTGCGGATGAATTTGCAGTAAAATTTCCGCATCATATTATTTAAGTGAATGGGTATCCTGAAGAACACCTTCCATTTCTCGCACTCAGTCAACCGTTATTATTAACTAAAAATAATCAGATAGGTCTTTGTTATTGAAATTAGTAGGCAATAAGATTATTTATTTACATATTTAAGTTGTATTGACTAAATTACAATTATATAGTCAGAAAATCCCTGTCTGCCTTCAAAAAGAATTACTCATTTAGATCAATTATTTATATACAACACACACATATATATATTGGCCAAGTACAAAGACTTGCCCTTAGCCTGCTGCAATAATATATTAAATATTTTATTGGATTTTTATTCATATCCTTGTTAGTCATTAAAAAAATATTTTACGATATGTTATAATTTTATTTGAGAGATCAATTCTTGATTCCTCAAAGTACAGTAGTCATAGACATGTCACTCGAGATCGCATTCCCGTGGCGCGATTTTTACCTGTAATAATACGTCGTCAGAAGTATTGTGCGAATATATGCGTATACGATGTATTTATTTTTTTTTCAAAATTATTTTACGCTATGCTTTTGAAGATGAAAAAATATCCCCGATGCAGATAAATACTGTACATATTTAAAAAGTAACGACTGTTATTGACGTTCGAAGACCTAAATCAGTTTGCACCTTATCTGTAAATTAAATATCATATTATCTAAACATACAGTAGTTGGCACAGTATTCCGAAATCATGCGTGCGTAACATTTTCTTCGGGAACCTCCAGAGGAAATGAATCATCATTATTCTTTAGCGTTGTCTGCACCATATACTCACATAGTGTAGTTATATTTTGACTTTATCTCCTTAAAAGTGACTTCCTAATTATTTATTTGCATAAAAGTGACCAGGCTCACTCAAGGATTCTGTAAGTAAATATACGATAGTTCTATTTGCGAAGGGAATCGGTGTACTCCGTACGTAATTAAAATTGTCGATTGAAACTATGCCTATTAAGGTATTTCCGAACCAGACTAATTTTATATACTATATTCTTCTGCAATTCCATACTAACTCAATCAACTTTTTGAACTTTTAAGGAAGCTATTTAGAATAAATGTTATGACATAATATCCGCCATAACAAATTACACATAATTATAATGATTTTTCCAATACAACAATAAAAATAATAGCATTTGAAATTCTTATAAAAGGGCCAAGCTTTCTTCCTGCTGAACTCAAACTTTCTTCGATCAACTATCATCGCTTTAAGGATTTATTTATCCAATGGAGAATAATCGGCAATCTATTCAACAACAGCAACTCCTAATATTAGCTGTTGCTCCTCCACAAGGCCACTCACAGCTCCCGTCTCCAGCAGCGAATCTTCCTGTAACTCTCCAACAAGATCTTGCTCCAGAAATAGTTCATCCTTTAAATCCCCAACATCCTACTCCTCCAATTCCTCATCAAAATCAGTTTGATTTTATTGGAGGAAATTTAATAATAATAAACTCAACTCCAAGGTCAGATGTATCAGACTTCGTGGAATTTCTTTTTAGGGGAGACAATAATTGATGAAAAATTAGCAAATAATTACTCAAGAATCAATTTACTGTGCAAAGTATATACATATACCGTACGTCGCGGTGTATAGTACATGGATATTTTAATGGTGCACATCTTTCTGCCAATTATTATGTACGTAAAAAAATATATATTATTCTTATTCATCTATATTGGTTGGAAGACCGGCAAGTATTCTATAGGAGGGGTACTATACACCGCGACGTACGGTATGTTATCTCTATTTCTTTAAATAGCATAAGCAAGTCAATAATATTATTATTGCATTACATATGATACATTCTTTGATTATTGTACGATAATTAAAAATTTCCTGTGTACAATATTCATTTTGATCAAATATAAGCAACAAGGATTTATAGAAATAAAGAAATAAATTTTAATTTTTTTCAAAAGCTCCCACCTCTATAGTGATGAAGCATTCTAACTACCATAGGCCATTGCATTAAGTACTTCGGGTATTAATCGTTCCGCCTGAAAAATTACTTGTAAAAAAAATACTATTAAAAAATCGCAAGGGTACTATTCAAGGGGATGTTGTATGCAGTGGTATACTGTAAATTTAAAGTAACATGTTAAGTCATAAAAGTTGAATGCGGGTTTGTGGGAGTCTCTTTTGATCTTTTTTTTTGGTCATTTCCATTGTGAAGTTGATAATGCGAACGTCGTTAGTGGAGTTTGTTTTGACTACTTCTTCAATGTTTTTTTCCTCTTTAACGATGAGGAATT